CCATCTCTCACCTTCTTTTGGTTTGTCGTCAATGGAACGAATGACATTATTAGCTTTGCGAACTTGTTCTATAGCACTTTTAAACATCTCTCTTCTCTGTTGTTTCAGTGTGTCATCTCTTCTTCTTGTTTCACCAACGTTTGCATTTGTTATGTCAAACATTTCTCTTCTTACTTCATGTGGTACAGCTCTTCTTGTTTCACCAACGTTTGCATTTGTTATGTCAAACATCTCTTGACGAACGTCATGTGAAAGAGCTTTACGAGTATGACCAACGTTTGCATTTGTTATGTCAAACATTTCTCTTCTTACTTCATGAGGTATTGAACGTCTATGATATAAGTCAATAGCAACGTCATTTAAAGGAAATGCTCTTGCATGGACTTCGTCCTCGCCGCGTTGCGGCTTTATGAACTCATGAATTCTATCATAAGTTATTTCACCATTATAGTCATTGAGGATGTCAGCGAGTGCCTTTTTGTTTGTTGTGTAATGCTTTGCAACATCTATATTAGCTTCTGTAAGAAGTTGTTTTATTTCCGAGTGTTCTAACTTAGACAACTTCCGATACATCTTTAGTAGGAAATAAAAAAAATATTTTTGAAAAAATTAGATTAGATTTTTTTAAGTTATTTTTCAAAATAATTTAATATTTTTATTTTAATGAAACACATGCAAGATTGCAAGTTCTTTTCATACAATGCTCTCGCTACTGTCATCAAGAATGAGTTCAATAATGCTTCAAACGTCAATGTTATCTTTAACAAGAAGTTTGTGAAAGAATCTAAGTTTGGTCAGTATGTCAGACCATTAGCTATTGTCATTGACCGCAAACGTTATACTTCACAAGAGTTAGCAGTAGTTTTGAAACAAAAGGTTTCTTCGTGAATGTCAAAGATACTCATTATACTATTATAAAGAACTCCAACATTGACTTCTTCAGTATTGCTATGAATCTTTCCGAACAGAAAGAATATAAGAAGGGTGAAACAAATGTGAAATATTATTCTTCATCTCTGAAAACAATAACGAACAAAGATGTTATACAAAAGTTCTTACCAAAGGTTGAAGAAGCTTCTATTGACATTGACGAAGGAAGTGAAATGGTTGAAGAAATTGACCCTGACGTCATTTAAGCAAAAATATATTTTTGGTTAGTCTTCATATCGATATTTTACAACAATTCCCCAATGTATAAACTTTTCATACGCTTTTTCATAAGCTTTATATACCTTCAGAAATTTTGCATAATCTTTAGAAGCATTTAGATATTGTTTAAATGCTTTGTATGTCTTCAGAAATTTTGCATAATCTTTTACATGTTGTTCGTTCTCTTCTTCTGTCATGAGTTCCGAATATTCTAAATTCATGTTCTTTCATATGAGATAAAATTTTATAAAAAAAATAAAATTAGCTTAGATTTTTTTATTCTTCCTCTTTGAAGTTATCGAAATATTCTGTTATTTTTTCCTTCAGTAATGTTAAGTCTTCTTTGAATGTAAGTATTGTGCAACCTTTGATGTCATAGTGTGTTTGAGGAAGAGTATTTTTGACAATTTCCTTTATTTGCTCATTCGGTGTCATTGAAATCGGTAAGTTTTCACGATAGAACCAGTTTCTGTCAGATTTGTAAATCTTAGCAAGGTCATAAAAGCTTTTGTTGTTTCTTCTGACTAAATGCAACATAACCATATCTCTATCTTCTTCTTTCTCCAACTCTTCAGTATATATCATATACTTATAACTCTTTTCCTTTCCTTTTGGTACCGAACGTGGTATTCTTTTCTGTATGCTTTTGTCTTTGGATTCAATGACTTCATCTTTTGCTTGAAGTTTCTTTTCCATCTCTCCACGTTCTTGTCTTTATGATATTCAAGCTAACATCTGAAAATATCAAGCATAACGAGGAGAAGCCCACATTGCAACTGCATTTACTAAAAGTCTATGAACATAATAACCTTTCAAACCAGGAGCCAAATTCTTGCGATTTTCGTACGGAATCTCTTCCTCGGTTTTCCGAGGGAAGCAATCATATGAGGAAATTCTTCTAAAAGTTCTTTTGCCTGTTGGTTTTCAAACCAATGATATGCTTGCTTTGTAGAACGAAGAGCATTCATTATACTTTGCATTTGGTACATATCGTCTTTGACCGAACGAATGAGACGGAGTTGTTTGTTAAACTGTATGTACTCGTATTCTTCATTTATGGCTTCATGAACGATAGCAGTTGTTGTGTTCTCTGTTGTTGACATATCTGTCCTTACATACAAAATAAAAAAATAAATAAAATAAAACTAACTTTATTTTTCTGTGTTAAAGAAATGTTAAAAATTCAGGGTTACATATGTGAAAAGAAGTCACGAACAAATGAAGGTCATAAGATTCAGCACATAATTCTGAATTGAATGGTGTGTCATACATGTCAAGCCGTCAAGAATTGAAGGAGATACGAGGCTATAAAGATTTTGGATATTTTCTGACACACACCCTGAGGGAAAAGTGACAAAACACGACGATAGAAAAAAGTGACAAAATTGAGAGAAAGTTGTTCCCCGACCAAAATGCAATCATGTTGAAAAAGTGACATTTGTAAAGTTAGACGATAGGATTTCCTGAAAAAGTGCAAGACTTGTTCTGAATCAGGACAAGATTTGTCTTGAAAAAATACAAGACTTGTTCTGAAAAAATACAAGACTTGTTCTGAAAAAATACAAGACTTGTCTTGAATCAGGACAATTGTTCAAATTTGAGAACTTTACAAGAAAAACTGACTAAAAAGTGCAAGACTTGTTCTGAATCAGGACAAGATTTGTCTTGAAAAAATACAAGACTTGTTCTGAAAAAATACAAGACTTGTTCTGAAAAAATACAAGACTTGTCTTGAATCAGGACAAAACTTTACAAAATGTAAACTTTACATAACCGTTTCTATCGTACATGATATTTAGTTGACATTGTAAACTATCTTCATGTAAAGTATGGCGGTTTGAAACCGTCGGGAACCTTCACTTTTTTGACGAACTTTCCGCAGCAATTTTTAAAATTTGTGAAAACTCAACGGTTTGACACGTGCCATATGTCATTTTACTCAGAATTTTGTGCTGAATTCAGCAAAAATAATGTTTATGTTAGCATGTTAGATCTAACACGTTTTCTAACCTCTTTTCTAACATAACTATTTACAAGCGTTTTACATGGTATATGTTGCGATGGTTCATGACTTTAAACAGTTTTGTAGCTTCTATTTCTTCTTTTAGTACATCGAATGTTTTAACAATGCCGAAGGTTTCTTTATATTTCTTCTTGACGTCAGATAGAAGGAAATCGTCAGCAGTTGGATAATTTTTGTTCAGAAATGCTAACATGTCCATTTTATCTTCTGCTGGCTTTTCTACTTCTTTCTTTAAATCTGCATAGTCGTTTCTCATTCTTTCTATCTCTTTGACGGAGTAGTTATATTTCCTCATCGCTGCCTTACATTTTGAACATTGCGGGTTCATTTTTGCGTTATACATTGAAATTCTTATATACGAAAAAAAGAGATCTGACATTGTGTCAGATCTCAGTAAAAGTGACATTTACATGTCAAAAAAATAGAATGAGTTTAAGTAATTAAAATTGAGGGTGAGAGTAGTATTGTATGAAATAATATCTCTCACCCTCCAATTCATCCTATGGCGCCGAAAAAATTTTGGTGAAATGCGACCACATTTCACCAAAATTTCTCGGCGCCATATAGAGAACTAGAGCCTGTGAGGTACTGATACTATCCATGTACCTCGCAGGCTCTAGTTCCAAGCCAAAATGGCTAAAAATTGCCCGCAATTGTTCACATTGCGGGCAATTTTTAGCCATTTTGGCTGGGAATTGGAGGGTGAGAGTAGTATTGTATGAAATAATATCTCTCACCCTCCAATTCATCCTATGGCGCCGAAAAAATTTTGGTGAAATGCGACCACATTTCACCAAAATTTCTCGGCGCCATATAGAGAACTAGAGCCTGTGAGGTACTGATACTATCCATGTACCTCGCAGGCTCTAGTTCCAAGCCAAAATGGCTAAAAATTGCCCGCAATTGTTCACATTGCGGGCAATTTTTAGCCATTTTGGCTGGGAATTGGAGGGTGAGAGTAGTATTGTATGAAATAATATCTCTCACCCTCCAATTCATCCTATGGCGCCGAAAAAATTTTGGTGAAATGCGACCACATTTCACCAAAATTTCTCCGCCATATAGAGAACTAGAGCCTGTGAGGTACTGATACTATCCATGTACCTCGCAGGCTCTAGTTCCAAGCCAAAATGGCTAAAAATTGCCCGCAATTGTTCACATTGCGGGCAATTTTTAGCCATTTTGGCTGGGAATTGGAGGGTGAGAGTAGTATTGTATGAAATAATATCTCTCACCCTCCAATTCATCCTATGGCGCCGAAAAAATTTTGGTGAAATGCGACCACATTTCACCAAAATTTCTCGGCGCCATATAGAGAACTAGAGCCTGTGAGGTACTGATACTATCCATGTACCTCGCAGGCTCTAGTTCCAAGCCAAAATGGCTAAAAATTGCCCGCAATTGTTCACATTCCCATCTTTTGTTGGTAAGACGAAGAATATGAAATAAATTATGAAGAAGATAATGATGAATAAAATATCACTTTTTATATTTTTGACACGTAAAGTTGTCACTTTTCTGTCAAACTGTTTTTATCGTTTTCGTATATAACAAAATTTGACCTGCTAAAACAACTAAGGCGTCAATTGCTCTCTTCATCTCAAACATAGCGGGTCTTAGTTGTTCGTTCCATACTTTGCCTCTTCTATCTTTATCTCTTATTTCCCAAACACATTCAGCAACTAATGAAACAAAGTTATCGTAGGTCTTAAATTCTTCAGATTTATATATGTCAGAAACATTCTTATAAACCATGTCGCAATCTTTGTCCATAACTTTATGGTTGCAATGAAAACCAAGGAATTCATAATTTACTTTACGTATGAACTTCTTTATTTCTACTGAGTCAGTTGTTTTGACTTCAATTTCGTCGAATTCAGGAATAGTTAGTTTTTGTTGTTGGATTTCAGGCAATTTGGGTAAATGGTCAATAATGTCCTGCATTTCATAAAGATACTGTTCATTTGTTTCATCTTTCGCACTACAGTCTAAATTACTTGTTAAAAGTTCTTGCTTTATCTTCTGGATTTTTGTTTCGAAAGTATATGAAGAAGGAATGAAGCTTTTCATCTCTACTAACATAGATGTTGGATTCATGACTAACGAGTTTGGTGCTGTAGTTTGAATTGTTGTTGTGCCGATTGTTGAAATCATATCTTTACATACAAGATAAAAATTTTTCTTAGAAAAAATTAGCGTTATTTTTCTTTCATAAGGAAATGTCAAAAATTCATGATTTTCGAGAGTTTTAGACCATGTTAGAAAAGTGGTTAGAAAACGTGTTAGATCTAACATTCTAACATAAACATTATTTTTTGGTGTAAATAAATGGTACCATTAATGATATCATGACTGTTCTCATTCATGTCTGATTTACATCTAATGAAAAAGTTTAGAAGAATTTTCTTATTCTTTCTGGCATATTTTTGTCTTTCCAGTACTCCCGCTCTAATGGTCCCAGATGTGTTGGCTTTGACTCTCTCAAGTTCTTAGATGGTATAACATCTTCAACACCTCCTTCATATCTTACTTTATAAGTGTCATCGTTTATGTTGTAGCCAAGTATTTCAATAACCACTCCTCGCTTTGCTTCGTCAATGGTTTCAGCAAGTTTGCCATTACTACTTTCAACTAATTTATGACGAGGATAAAATGCTATGGAGTCGTCAGCAGCTTTTATAAGATATCCATTACCTTGTGTAGAGTCTACGATATAATAGTTTCTACTTAACCTTAAACGTTTCTTTGTCAACGGTTTGTCGTCAAGAACTACACGAACTTTTGTACCAGGAATGAGGGTAAATTGTGTTGAATTTCTGATATTTTGTGTTTGGCTTCGTTTCTTTTGTATATACTTTTCTTCTTGTTGTTGTGTCATTGAATTTGGTGTATGTCCTGTTGTAGAATGTGTTGAGGAATTATATACTTCGAGAAAATGTTTCATTGTTTCTTCGGTAAAGTCTCGCTCTTGATTTAAATCTCTGAGCGTTCTTATGAAGCGGTTTATGATGCCGAGTATGTTATGGTTATGGTCTTCAGTAGTGTAGTGAGTTATGTTATGCTTAATGAGAAATTCTGTGATTTCATTGCTGAGGTATGCACTGTCTTGGTCTGATGTTAATGAAGTTGGATGATGTTCTGCCACAAACTTTTGTAAAACTCTTAACACTTCACGAGTTCCTTTATTTTTCATTGGATATGCATATGCTTTACGAGTGTTAACATTTATGAAGATGAGGAATGGTTTATGTCCTCCTTTTCTGCTTTGAATGAGAGTGTCAAATTGGTATGCGTCAGGAGTGTTGGAGTAAATTGGTAAAAAGTAGTCGTAAGGGTTTATTTTTGTTTGATGTACAACATTTTTGTCAAAGAACCTTTTCACTTCAGCTCTGTTAGTAAATCCCCAACTCTTTGCAGCTTCATTGAATTCTTAAATGACCTCCATGGATGTTGTTCGAATACTTCTTTCAAGCTCATTTATGTAAAGTTAAAGATTTTAACCAACTCGTATCCAAGCGTGCATTGTTATATAAGGAGGCATATAATCTTTTCCATTACCTGCTGGGTCTGTAATACCAGCTACAACATGCGTATGATTTCCTGCAGTTCCACAGAAAATACCTGTGCTAACATCTTTGGGGTCATCTGAGATATCATATCTGTTCATTCCCTGTCTATTCGAACCCGCTGCAAGATTTATAACCTCTTTTTGTTATTGAATGTGAATGGTTTCCTTCCACAGATGTTCTTCCACTGAACCTATGCATATGTGAAGGAAGGTTTTCAATACCTATTTTCTTTGAACCTCCCATCTTCATTGACTGCGTATTAGTGTAGAATGGAAAACTGTCAACTATTTCATACCATCTACCACCAAATAAAGTGTTTGGATTTATTGGATTCATAGACGTATAAACAGCTCCTATAGGATATATTAAATCATATATGCTCATAACTCTATAAACATATTCTAAAGAACTTATGTCATTAAATACCATTTGGAATGTATCTCCCGGATGAAATGTTGCATTTGTTCCACTTTTATAATGTAATGTTAGTTCAATAGAATTATCCAAGAAAAATTCAAAAGTATCTGGTTGAAGACCTCTAACAAATTCAAATGGAGTTGCTGGTTCACCATTTATAATTTCTGTTGTAAATGTCATTGTATCTGGTTTCGAAAATTTCTTTGTTAGTTCTGCATCCACATAAGTTTTATCTGCTTTCTTATCTAACATTGTTGGTAGTTCATATGCTTCAAAGTTTCTGGCATGACTTTCAATGTTCCTGCAACTCTTATCTAAACTGTTAAGAGTATCTTTTACGCTTGTACTTGGATTTTCTAATGGTGCACTTGAACCAAGGTCAAAGTTCAATATTATGTCGTCTGCTCTAACAGTAGTGAAGGATTTATGTGTATGGTTCTTGTCAGCTTTACTGTCTAATGTAGCTTGAAGTTCATTTATATCGGAGATGTTGTGTTTATGAGATTTCAAAACTTTGTTCATTGCTTCGAGTTCAACTTTGTCAGCTTTACTTTTAATAGCATCTTCAAACGTTATTTTTGCCTTAACTCTCAAAGTAAATCTTGGTTCAACTAATACACCGTTAACATTGAAAGTAGAGGCATAAATTTCACCGGTATAACCAAATGCTTCTGGTGCTTTAGCTACATCATACTGTACAGTACAGCTTATGTCATAACCTTTAGCACGAATGTATTTATATCTTCTTTCATTAACATTTTTTGTCTTCGCTTCATCACTTCGTGTTAAATATCCATGGTAGTCCGTTATAATCTGTTCGTCTGAAGTTATATAATGAACATGGTTCTTGTCCGCTTTACTATTTAATGTAGCTTGAAGTTCATTTATATCGGAGATATTGTGTTTATGAGATTTCAAAACTTTGTTCATTGCGTCAAGTTCATTTTTGTCCGCTTTACTATTTAATGTAGCTTGAAGTTCATTTATATCGGAGATATTGTGTTTATGTTCTTTATCTGCTTTTTCGGCTAATTTCTCTTCTATCTCATTTATTTCAAGTTCATGCCTACCACCACCTCCCGAAGAAGTATTTTTCTTCAGCTCTTGAAGAACGTCCACTTCGCCATCTTTGGTGTCAATAATGAGACTTTGTGTTAAAACCTTTCCTGTCTTAATGGATGTTTGTAAAACTTCTTCTTCACCGTGTTCGGGGTCATGGTCGTCATCATATCTTGTGAAATCAGAGATGTTGTCATACATTAAGCATATCTGTCTCAAAAGTTCTGCTATTTGAAACTGGAACGAAAGATATACAGAACTTTCATCATCTCCTAAAGTCAAGTCTGCTTTCTTAAGTATTTCTTGAATGTATGCAATGAGAACAGAGTACCTTGGAAAATATTCGAACAATATTTCATTAGCTGTTGGTTTTGGTGGTTCTTCTGGAGTTTCTGTTGTTTCAGTTCCTTCTGTTGGAGTTTCTGCATCTCTTGACTTCAATGCTCTTGCTCTCAAAGACCTAAATGTTAGAGCACCGGGTTTTACAAAGGACTTTATAAATGCTTTAATAGTTCCTGGTAAGTTATTGTTAGCATTAAGTAAGTTCCTTATGCTTCCATCATGTACGTCCATAGCACTATGTAAAAAATCTATACTTTTCTTGTAGTCAGCAATAGACTGACTGTGATTTTTTAAAGATTTGTCAATACCTTTAAGCCAATCTTCATGCATGTCTGATACTGAGCCAAGAATATCATTTGCTTCCTTTAGTGTATTTTGTGCTTGTCGTAAAGTATCCAATCCCGTACGTGCATTGTTTGCTATACGTCTTACAGTATCTATTTGACTCCTTGTTTCTTGCATCCAACCAGATAAAGTTTTAATAGTATCCGAACCATTTGAAATGAAGTTCAAAGCATTTTTAACGTCATTTAAAACTTCTTCACCAAGTACTGCCCATATCTTTCCGATTTGGTATTGAAGAACTCCATATGAAGCAGCTGTTAAACCAGTATTTATAAGGTCCCATATCCATGATTTAGCAGTTTTTCCATCCTTTCCATCCTTTCCATCCAAACCGTTTTCGCCTTGAGGTCCTTGTATTCCTTGTATTCCTTGTATTCCTTGTGGTCCTTGAGGTCCGGTGTCACCCTTCTCTCCTTTCAGTTCATCTTTATGTTCGTTATAATATTCTAATGTCATAAGGTGTACATCATTACTGCTACCAGCAACGCCGAGAATTTGTTTCTCATTCATGACTAAATTCTTTAGGCATTTAATGTTGTCGTCAAATCGAAAGCTCTTTAACAATTCAATGAGAACATTCAGTACTTTCACTAATGAGGCATCTACTGTAGAATTTATATATTGCACCGTTCCATCATTTATGATAGGAACCTTGCTTGTTGTAATGAATGGGTCATAAGTGTTAAAAGTATCGAAATCAATGACTTTTTTAGTTTTTCCATCGTCAATGACTAAATCATTGCCTTCAATGGTTAAAGTTGAGTTTTCGTTTACTAGTTCATGTGCTCTTCTTGCTTCATTTGTTTCATACGCATATGCAGCAATAGTCATATTTTAATGAGAATAAAATGTTGTTCTATTTGCAAAGTACAGACCCAAACGAATACGGAATAGTAAAGCTACAAACAAACTTAGGTCTTCAGAATGAAGCACTTGCTTTCAGAGTTGTTGACTTCAATACTATCGCAACTTTTGTCATAACAGATGAAACAGATTTCATGGAGTTTGAAATAGATGGAAAGAAGCATGAAATAAGATTTCACAATAATGTAGAATATAAGATGGAAACATTAGCTGGAGTGTTAAATGCGCTCATAAATACTACAATAAACAAGGAGAACGAAGAAAACTTAATGAATGTTAAACTTATTGCAGGAGTTTTGAAGTTCAGTTATGCGAAGGAGTTTAAGATAACACGAATGAGTCATAGAGTTCAATTGCTTCTGGGAGCATACCATATGACATTTCCTTTGAAAAGTGTTGACAAAACGATTGAGATGAAATCTGTTCCATACGTATGTTATGGTAATTGTTTGTACATTGAGTCTAAAATAGCTAATGTCACAGGCATTTCAGGAGTTAATAGTAAAGGTTCAGTAGAATATAAGTCTTTCTGTTATGCAGTCAATTCAATGTTCATTCCAAACGTTCCTGTCATAGCAACTCATTTAGGTAAATGGATTCGCATTAGTCCTCATAATTTGAAAGACATGCAATTCAGACTTGTTGACTTTCAAGGCGAGCCTGTAGAACTGAAGGCACCAGTGCGAATGACTGTTGAAGTTGACTTTTTAGAAAATATTAAATGCAACAGCTTACAAGAGAACTCAGAGCTAAAAATATAAAGTATGAATGTTATGTATTAGGTCATGAACTTTGGTTGTTGCTGTTTGATGAAACAAATGAATTAGTTATGTCAGTCAAGAGAACAGAAAAAGGCGTCAAAGGCGCCGAGCGCAAAGCGCTATATTGTGTTAGTGAAAACTGCACCAAGTCAATAAGATTAGGTTTGCATTATGAAGATGAGTTCGATACTGTTGAAGAAGTTTTGGATAGATATTACAAATTGCTTTAATTTACTAAAACATATTTCAAACAAAGTTTATATTCTGTTGAAAGTTTTGTATATTCATTCGAATATTTATACTTAAACTCAACTCCTGTAGTTCCTGGTGTTTCAATGATGCGGATGTTACCTATTTTCATGAATGGTGGCGTTTGACCACAGCATTCGATTTCAGGGTCGAGATAGTCAATGACACATTGTTTCCCTGTTATTCGTGATATAACATTTTCAAGGTCCTCCTTTGTTAGAATTATTTGGTTCTTGCTTATAAGATTTGTCAAAAGCTTCTTATCGTCTTTGAGTAAAATTGTTTGGTATAACTGAAGAAGGTAATGGTCTACGTTATCTGAAGGATTTGTTTGAACATTTGTGTAAGGGTTGTCGTTGGCTTCTCTTGAAAGAATTTGGTCCAGTGGTGGATACTCTAACTTAACATCTGATGTAGCGTTAGCGTTTGAAGCTGTGTTTAAATTCACGGATTTCAGTTCTGGTTCTTTTTCTTTCAAACACTCTGAACTATAGTTCTTTATGACAATATTGTTTGTCGTTCGTGAGTCAACATTTGATGTTGGTTCAATTGGAACATTAACGGCACCAGCTAAGATGGATTTGCTTCTCATTTCATATAGAATAAAAACCTTTTATATGTATGAAATGAACAATATACTCGACAAGGGTTTGAATGTAAAGCTAACGAATGAAAATATTGTTGAATTCACTGAGACAGGTGCTGTGTATAAAGATGTAGAACTACTGAACAAAAGAGCTAAGGGAAGAAGCAGGAACATGAACAAAGGGTGGAAGCCTATAAAAATTTATGTCAATGATGGCTCAGGAGGTTCAAACATAAAGTATGCAGAAAGTTATAGAGTTTATGCTCTCAAAGGTGAAAAGCCTTCATTTAAGAACAGCTATTCTAACGCATATCCTCAAAAGCTAACGGATGGGGAAGTGGATGATATGAATGACAGCAAAAATATTAACAGAAATGGCGACAGAGATGCATGGAATTTGTTTACCATCAGTCAATTGAAGGTTAAACTTTAAAAACAATGTTGGTCGTTCCCATGGAATATTTTTGACTTTAATGGTATTAGTCATGATATGAATCTCAAGGTATGAACGAGGAGAGATGAGAGACTTATATGCTTCCCAAATTTCTTCAAAAGGTAATGTTATACCTGACTGTTTCCAAATGAGTTCAATATCATAACGTGAGAAACCTTGAAAGATAACGAAGTCAGTTATGAGACGTTTTATGTTTAAAGCTAAAAACCTCCATGTTTGCATAAGTATTGCTACAGTTAAGTGGTAATGTCTGACTTTAGTAATGATATTAGCTAATGGTGAGTCTGGTTTTGACACTAAACCTTTACCAGCGAAGTCGTCGCAAACGAGCAGAGTGTTTGAAGGATATTTTTTGAAGGGGTATTTTGAAAGTTTTGATAGAATGTAGTTTGTCAGTCGTTTCATATCGTAAACTCCTGAGTACTGACGTAAGTGGTGTTTGTCAATAATTCTTTCCATCTCCTCAGAAGTCTTTTGCATTCCTGACTGTATAAATTCAACGATGGCATAATATTTCCTCTTACGTCGAATGTAACGTTGAAGAAATTCAATGAGTTCACTGTCTGGAACTTTAACGACAGAGGCTTGAACTTTTGACATAAATGTTTTCGCTGTTGAGTCCATAGAGTCTGAAGTTGCTGATATAATGATTTGGTCATAATATGAGTCATTTCCTAAACGTTCTGTTATGAGTATATGACGAATTAAATTAAATGTCTTACCTGAACCCATCTTTCCACAATAGAAATAAACGCCATTTGAACAGAACTCATAGTCCTTACTGAAAGGAAGAATGAGAGAAGAGTTAAGTTTGTCTGTAGTTTCATTCATGTCTTCATCTACGTCATGTATTAAATGCTTCATTTTATCTCCATTAAAAATGCAAGTCAGAAATATTCAGAACATAGCACCGAGTCTAACTGACAAGAGTATAAAGATATACTATGAACACGTTATGATGAAACCTACCAAAATTCAAGAAAGTCAGTATACTTATGAATATCCAAGGCACTGGGTAGAGTATGTAGGAGGTGAGAAAGCTATTGAAATCAGACAGGTTCGAAGTATTCCAGCAGGAAGAACAATATTATTGAAGAACTTTAATGTTTTGAGATATAATGATGAAACAAAGAAGCAAGATAGTTTTCCTGTTGCTGTGTATGTGAACTAGATACAGGAGATGACATGAAAGTTTTTAACACAAAGCTTCAAACGGTAGTGAGAGAACAACTGACTGCGGAAGGACATCCATTACCTTCAGAAGTTAGCATAGCATATATATTTTGAAACAAACTCAATAGATTTTAAAGTCATCTCTGCAAAGAAGTCAGGTTTTACATTTAATGAAGCAGATGTATATTCGAATGAAAACTTCAAAGCTATTGCATGGTTAGATAATGACGATTGCTTTAAGAAAATATTTAAATTCAGTGACTCAAAGATGTCAATAGATGACCTTCGTGGAATGTTACCATCGACGTTTACAGTTGAAGGTTCAGCAGGATTGCTTACAAGATTGTCAATTGGTGGTATTTGGTCTCGTGAGAACATTGTTATAAAATCCAGTATAAGTGAATTTGCTGAAGAATCTATATTATGTCTTTCAAACTACATGTATTCGCCACCGAAGCATTATAGTATAACAAACTTTGTCAGTAAGTTTAACATAAGACTTGTCGAACCTTCTTCAATGAAAGATGTTGTGCTACCTAAAGATGGAAAGGATGGACTCATTATTGAGATGATTTTAATAGCATATTAAATGAGCTTGTTCTTGAAGGTCATTCATGATGAAATAACTGTTGTAGAAGATGTTAGCAATTGTTCAGACATTTTGAAGCGAATAGATGATATAAGAAAGAAGTTTATGAAGCCGCAACGCGGCGAGGACGAAGTCCATGAGAATGTTTATGTTTCATTGACTTTCTCCAGTAACGAGAACTTTTATGAGATAATATTGAAGAGAGATGATTTTAATATGGTGTAAATGGTAGCTTGGGCAGCTTTAGGCGCAATGGGAACAAAAGCATTAGCATTTGGAGCAAAAGCACTTGGAGCTTATGACGCAGTAAATAAAATGAGTGGAGGAAGAGTTTCGAAGACATTAGATGCAAATAAAGGAAAGATTGGAGGCTGGGTTGCAAAGAAGTTAAGATTAAATAAAATAGGACTCATAAATAAAGCATCCAATTTGGTTGCGACTGAGTCAGAAAATGCTTTAGGAAAGGACGATGAGTTTGCAAAACACGCAAAAGACTTTAATGACCAGATGAAAGGTGAAACAATGCATTTAAATAGAGTCGATGGAACTCTTCCTCCACCAGTAGTTCTTCCGTATGGTCCCTATGGAATGTATGGGGAATGTATGGAAACCCTTACGAAAAACCATTTGACCCATTGACTGGTGGAAGTAACTGGTATCATTACGGACGAAGAAGAAATACAGTTAAGCTGGAGATCAGACGTGAAGAAAGCAACTAAAAAAGAAACAAGGAGAGAGTTATAAAGCAATGAATTCAACGGTAGAAAAAGAGGTTAGAAAACGTGTTAGATCTAACATTCTAACATAAACATTTTTTTGTGCTATGTTTTCATACGTGTGAGGGTGGTGATATCATTAATTTTTAAGTTTATTTGGATGTAATTTTAAGTTTATTTTATATAAAATGACGAAAACTATTGAGATAAACAAACTACACGGTCATGAGTTCAAGAATTTGTTCTTCGTTCCTCGTGAAAAATACATTCTATCAGATACGAGGGAGAAAGGGTAAAGTTGTTTGAGCGTTTATGAAGGAATGAAGAATGGAAAGTTATACAAGCATACGATACAAAACGGTAAACGTGTTTCATTAGCTTTGTCCAAAACTTACTAACATTATTCTTGACAGTGATTTTGACCTATATGAAGAAGAAA